AAACAGTATGTCTGATTTAAAATTGGAACTCTTAAATGTTTATCCAGATATTTTTATGCATTACGTCATGGTGAACCACAGTCAACAGAAAATAAACTAAATGGATTAAAAGTAGAAACAGAGGCAGAAACTGGTTCTTCATATGTACTGAGGTTTTTCACATCATGAATTGTAAATAGTAACTAAGAATATTTTAAGTACTTCGGGTGGGGCTGTTGAAGTCATTCATGTCTTTTAACCAAATTCTCCTGCACCCCACCCTGGACCAACATAAAGACCCCCTGTTTGTGTTCTCTCCATGTGTGTATGAGTGCTCTTAAAACTGGAGAACTATGACCTGTAGGTTTTACAGCAGTTATGAAAAGGTAATGGTTGAAGACATTTTAAAATAAAAGGGGGGATCCGGTTGACAGTACTGACTTCCTGCTGATACTTGTATGACATTAGAAATGGTTATTAAACAGTCACTAAATTAAGCCTTAAAACATTTTTAAAAGCCCACTGTCACAGCCTACAACCACTGTGCAGAGCTTTCTCAGTCACAGAACACTGTATGGAGTCTGCTTGTTCTGGAGTTGGGTCAGGACAGCAGCTGAGAGATCTAGTCTCTCTAACGTAGCCTTGGTCTTTCCTTGTTGCTTGTGCAAACTTCCTTCTGCAGAGAGTTGCTTTTGTTTTTGAATGCGAGCGCACAAGACAACGACATGTTTAAATCAGTGATAAGACCATGGTCCAACTTTTTTGGCAATCTCGGGAAAGGCAGAACTTGCAGACACTTCCTGGAGAGAGGTGAAGGAGACGGAACTGAGCAGAACAACTCTGGTCCTGTTTTAGAGGTTTCCCTGCTTTGACACACCTGATTCAGATGACTGCAGTTCAACAAAAGCCTGTGAAGCTGTGCTGAAGCATCTGAAACATGCAGGACAGTGTGCGCTGAGGACCAGGGTTGAAAAACGTTGACTGTTGTGCTTCATGGGCACAGGCTAAGAATTGATGGTGGGTTCTCCAAGGAAAGGGGGTCTTATGATGAAAGAGTTCATCCTGTTGCACCATCTCTGGTGATGTGCCCCAGTGCTTCAGTATGCAACAACTATGCTCCTTTAAAAGTTCACTGGCACCGATTCATCTGGTCTCCTATTTAAACTGCAGAAAATAAGTAAGGATTTTATTCTATAAATAATTTAATTCACTGTGGGATTAATCTCTTCTAAACAGCTCTGAATGCTGCATGGCAGCAATTTATGCTAATTAAAACTTAGCGCTCTCAGAAAATAAAAAAACTATTCAGCTGTTACAGCAAAGTCTGATTGCTGTCTTTTATTTATTTCTAAGACTAACATTCTGTTGGTAAAACTTTGCAGACGAAGCTGCAGCAGTATTATTACTCATCAGCTATCAATTTGTTCTTTAAAACAAGCTAATCAAAAAAAATCCAGTTTTTTTTCTGATTCTGATAAATATATTTGTCCAATTATTGATATTCATGTGCTTAATAACAATGGACTGAATTGAAATGCTTTGGAGTTGAGTTTAGAGTTTAGATGCCTTTCATAAATAAGCAGCTTTTTATAAATTTGTACGACTCTAGATGCTAACTATCATTTGTTGACATGTGAAAGTAATCCTTCAGATGAAGCCTAATCTGTCTGTTCTGTTTAGAAAACAGCGTGCATGAATGTGCAATAATGTGGGTATTTATGCGCAGCAGGTCTCATGTTTGGTTTGGTTTTCTGGCTGGAGACACCGTAAAAGTGTGACGAGGGTTCTGAGACATCCACAAATTACAACATCAGGCTGTAATACTCAATAACATTGTTAGAAATGTTTGTGTATTTGCCTAAAGCAAATACACAAACTAAATATGTTCTTTTGAGCTTGTTCCAACAACTAAATGAGAAACATGCCAGTTTGCATAATTTTAGAGATTTTCTTTTTCTTCTTGTGGTACTATGATGTGTTTGGAGTGACTTGCTTTGATTAGAATTATACTGTATTTATTGTCTGCTTCCCAGCAGTCGTGACAAGGTGATGTTTATAGTTTTATGGCTGAACCCAAGGAATGATCTAGTGCTTGCTGTCAAATAAAATTATGTCTTTTAACAACTTTGTGTGCATAGATTAATGGGACTGATTGCAAAATTAGGCCCATCTTTTAAAAACAGATCTGTACAAATATGTCCTCCACACTCCTCCCAGGTTTTACCATTTAGAATCCAGAAACCTGAAAGGGTGTGATAATGTCACTCAACTTTCTGACTTTTTTTGTTGCACACTGTCATTTAATACTTTAAGGCAGAAGGTTGTGGCAGGTTGAAAAAAGTGATAAGGCTGGATGGATGAAGGGATATTAAAAAAAAACAAAGTGTATTTAATTCCCGGTAGAGTTTGTTGTGAAATATTTTTCATATCATGTTTATCTAAAAGGAAACACCCAACTGTTCCTCATCAGTCTCATGACAGAGTTTATGAATATGAGCAGCAGAGGGGCTCACTTTGGGACCCACCCCATTCAACTGAGTTTTATTTGAATTGTACAAAAAAATTGAGCTACTTTGTAAAAGTTTTCCTTTCACTTAGAACATCTTATTAGAGAATAATACATCTGGAAAGCATGCAGGAGAGATCCACTCCCATCAGTAAATAAATAACAAAAAATATTATCTATTCAATAACCCCACGTTTTTAACAATGTAACATTTGACAGCTCAAATAAAAAAAATGCAGCTGTGAAAAGGCAGACAAAATGTGTTTCCTTCAGCTGATCTCATCTGCTGAGGTTGCCACAGTGAAAAAAATCACCAAAAAAAGGCAATTGATTTACAATGGATGCCTTTCCTGATGCAACCTGAGCTTGAACCTAGCATGTTTCTTAGACCAGAAAACAAAACAAAACTAGAAACACGCGGAGAGTGCAAACCTCCGCCAAGACCAATTCCCCCCCATCCTGTAATACAGTTACAAAGGGGCACACCAACACTACAGTGCCACCTGCTGGACACTTAGAAACCCACGCCCTGTGAAAGCATCACAGCTTTGCTGATCTCAGAGTGTTAAAAAAATCCTGTATCTGCATCGTGATCCGGAACATCACCAAAATTTAAAGGTGTGTTACTTGAGCCAGTACCCACATGTGGTAAAAATGTCATGACAATCCGTCCACAAGTTTTTGATTAATGTTGTCCACAGACAGAACGACAGACATACGCGGCCGAAAACATTACCTCGCCCTTGGCGGAGGTAACTGAGCACAACAATACAGGCTGAGGGGGCCAGAACATGGCCACCATCTTGAAAGCTACCATATTGGATCAAAGACAAGTTTTTCCAAAGATAGCCCACCAGTACTTGCTGGGGTATTCGGATGCTGGGGTATTCGGATATGTCATTCTTATCTTTCTAAAATAAAAGGGTGTCCTGTGACTTTCGACTCACCCTGTTGTGTGAGACACAACCACAAGAAGGGCTTAGCTAAGACAAATAGCATCATCGGGGTACAGTCTGGACCGCTCACAGGTCCATCACAGGGCCACATTCAGACAACAAACCATTCACTCTCTCATCCACGGAAAATTTAGAATTAGCCTAACTCACACTCTTGTTTTTTTTATTATTATTTTATTTTTTTAATATGTGGGAGAAAACCCATACATGCTTAGATAGAACAAGTCGTAAGGTTCCTGGCCAGGATTTGATTTGCCAAGCTTCTTGCTGAGAGGCATCAGCATCGGCACCACCATGCAGCCGAAGGCCAAAAAGGAACGTTAAATATAAACTCTCAATATTGGTGTTTGGGGATTATTTTCACCTAAAACCGCATCAATTTTTAGCTGTTTCTGCAAAAGTTGCTTGGCTTTGGCAGTCATCTTAGCTAACTCCAAAAGGTAATCATTAAAATGAATTAAAATCAGATTGAGACTTGTGATACACCCTCCATGACAGTGGGCTATTATTCACTGAATGAGCTGATCTGATCTCAGATTAGACTGACCTCTGCCTCTTTCATATTTAATGTTACACTGATAATGCTAATTTCTAAAAACACATCATTAGGCCCTATTAGTTAAAAATTAATTTCCTGTATTTATTTAATTATTTATTTATTTATTTATTTAGAATCAGGGTAAAACATAACTTGAGCACTTGCCACGTTTTTAAAATAGGATCTTTACTACAGAGGAGAGGCTGAGGAGGAGGAGATGGGGGTGACTCTAAATCTGTGGTTCCCAAACGTTTTATCTTCTGACCCACAAAATATCCATGGCAAAAACTTGTGACCCCAAATATTACTGGTCTGAGTACACGAACTTTGTTAATAACCCTAAAAACACAGGCTTTTGACAATCTAAACAGCTTGTACGCAAATATAAATACTTATTTATACTTATTTTGTGTTTTTGTAATAGTTATAGGGAAAATATTAGATCAGCAATTATTTTATTACCCTTTAAATTGATTTCTGGAGATTATGTTTGTGCTTTATGACCCATAATTGGGTCCCAAGGTCAACTTTGGGAACCAAAGTGCACTGGTTCCCAAACTTTTCAGCTTTTGACCCACAAAATAACAGTAGCAGAGACCTGTACCCCCCAGCTAATTTTGTATGATACACATTTGTATCAGGTAAACAAAACATGGGCATAGTAACAATATTTTATACTACATTTATGCGTTTTAAATACACTAACCTCACTCCTTTGTAACAAGCCAAAAATGTAATTAATTACGAAAATCTTTTCAGGACCCCACCTTGATGTTTCGGGACCCCATTTTGGGTCCTGACCCCAACTTTGGGAAACACTGCTCTAAATCAACTCAACCGCATATTGAGCAACTGTTTTATGGGCCCCTCCCTTGTTTGACATGTTGCCCGGGACGAGTTGAGCGATTTGTCAGAAAACAACAGGGGGAGGCAGAACATCCACCTCATCGGGTCGCGTGTATTTACAGCAGAGAGGGGGGGATGAAAGCGGGACAAATTGCCCACAGCGACGCCCCCGACACCCGCTTTCATCTGGCGCGCACGCGCCTCACACACGGACTCCTCTGAAGGGCGCGCGCGAGCAGCTATTGGATAAGGTGCACGCGCCTGGCTGTTTCTCCTGACTCCACGCGCGCAGTCGCTTTGCCTCAGCCGCAGGAGAGAAGACGTCCAGCCACAACAGAAAGTCAGGTAGTGTGGGTTTTTTTTTTTTTTCTGATTTCTCATCTGAGCTCGGCTTGAAGAAGTGATGTGAGAGTGTTTGCAATGCTTTTAAAAAAGCTTTTACTGTCAGTAACCTGCTGTAAACGTTACATGGAAATTATATATTAAAAAAAAGTTTTATATAAAAGAACCAGCTTAGAAAGTTTAATGATAACAGGACACTTTTAAAGTCATTAATATGATAAAAGTATCACAAATATCAAAGATAAGACAAGGCTAAGAGTTCTGCAGCATTAAAAGCTGTGCAGTTAGGCCTAGTATTGTTATTTAAAATGAACAAGTGAAACATCCTGCCTGTGTTCCCAAAGTTGAGGTTAGGACCCCACTGTGGGTCACGAAACACCAAGGGAGGATCAGCTAATCACTGTTAATAAAATAGTTTTAAAAAACTATTGTGTAACCCATTACATCAAACAGAGAATTAAATCAAAGTTGGTCAAAATGATCTGAGCACATGTTCAGATTTCTGCCCTTTAATACATTTTGATACATCAGATATCATAAGTACCATTGGCTTGATTTGTTTTGTACTCAAGATAACATTAATATTTGGCTGAACTCCTATTTATTTTATTTTATTCTAATGAGGAATTAGTTTATGCCATATTAAAGAGAAAATCTCGAACATTGTTTGGATATTAAGATTGACCAGCTGGAAGAGGAAACAAAAGCTCTGCAAGTTCCAAGGGTAAAATAAATAGCATGTTCTTTAAAGCTACCACAAAATAAATAATTCAAAATGTTTGTTGGGATTATATTTAGACATTTCATTCATATGACCTGTAGATAAGGTATTTATTCATTATATTTTAGCAAAATGCAATTGTTGCAAACATATTAACCAAAACACTATAACTGTGACTCAATCTTTGGTTAGATACGATAAGTCACATTGAATTGGTAGTCACAAAGAGTCAGTACAGTTAACATTAATAAAACAGAAATATAATGTGCTATCGTGATCTAGTTTAATATTTGTGGAGGTAAACTTTAGGGTTGGAAGCTGAAAGGTTTGGGAACTATGGCTTTAAAGCCCATTAATTTATTGGTTAGGTTGGTATTTGGTTACTTATTTTACAAGTCTTGATCCTGTTTTGGCTGTTGTGTTTAGTTTAAAACTGCAAAACTCATAAACTTCCATAAATGTTATCCTTATCCAAAACACCTTATGTCACGACTTGTAAAGTTCAATTTAAAAAGCGGAAACACAAAGCAATAAATGCAACTCGTAACAAATTGAAACCTGATGAGGCATGAAGCATGGTGGTTGACTGCTGCATGAGGGCAAACCAGAGTATATATAAACCAGAGTATATATAAACTAGAGTATATATAAACCAGAGTATATATAAACTGAGGCTGATGAGTACAGTGGAGAAAACCTGAGCAAAATAACAACAGGGAGCAGGTGTGGCTGGTGCAGGCTAAGGAGCAGAGGACTGAATGAAAGAGGCTGATGTCACAAAGGAGATAAACAGAGTACAATGGAAACAATAAAAATTAGAGAAAGATTGTGAAGAAGAGTGTCAAAAACACAAAATAAATTCAATAACAAAAATACAAACTACAAAAATTAAGGATCCAGGCACCTCATGAGTAAATCTTAACCCTTAAAAGGTGCTTGAAGCAGAGTTTCTGCTAACTCTGGACCATAACAACACGTCTTGTGTAGACATTAGCTTCAATTTCCTGTTGGAAACTTTGTTGCCCGCCACCAAAATCAGCTGCTGTGTTTGTATTAGACACTTATTTTAGCTGAGCCTGACTTACAAGGAGCCACTCTTTGGGATATTTCCATAGCTTGTTTCGCTGCATGCATGGGCGGACTCAGGAGAGCACATCTGTGGGGGCTCATTGTGCATTCTTCTTTCTCTGGCTGAGATAATCATGGCAATGTGAATGTATATCAGTTTCCATTTTATTTTAGCAGATGCAAACTTTAAATTCTACATTACTAAATTTATCTTACTTGCTTTGCAGGTTAATATTATTGTGTGGTCATCACCAAATGCCAGTTTATAAACCCACCACCTTTTACCCAATATCAAATGTAACTGTGGGCTGGTCACTTTCTACCCACACTCTCAAATCCCTTCTTTATAACTGCTTGGCCACGGCTCTAGTGTTGAGGTTTAAAGCCATGGTTCTCAAACTGTAGTACAATTACCTGTCCTCCAGTGGTACTTGTGAGAAATTGTAGTGTCAGCTGTTTGCAATCTAAATTTTAACCATTATAGGCCAAACTGTGATGTAAGGGTTGTACCTCACTGAGCTGTGACTATTGAAGATTAGCGAGTGACTCAAAAATGCAAGAAAAATGTGAGAAAACAGGCAGATTTTCAGTTGCAGTCTCAGTAAATTGAACTGAAATGTTTGCAAGTAATCAAAAGAGTTTGCCAAAAAAAAAAAAATCTGGGACTTTCAAAAACTGGCTGCTCGCTGCCAGACAGCTTGCTGGTCACTTGAAGACTCAGAATTCAGAGAGACATCACCTGAAAATCTGCCCTATTTCAAAACGATTGCAAAATTGAGTTGCCAACAGGGCTGCCACGATTAATCGATTAATCGACGACTAATCGATTATTCAAATAATCGATGACTAATTTAATAATGGATTAATTGTTTTCTTTTTTTTGTTCTTTACTTTGTTTTTCTCTCCAAACTGCTTTGACACCTTCCACTGCCACATCTGCCTTTCTGTCCTTGACACACATGCACAGTAGTGGTAACTGGGGTAGGCCGTGGACGTCACAAGACATTATACAGACAGGCTCTGGTATCATGGCTACCTGACAGCCGAGCTCAAAGTGTGGGATCATTTTAAGAAAATGAAAGAAAAACCTGTGCAATATCTGCAGAGCAGAACTTACCTTCCACAGCAGTTATTTTTAGTTAGCATATAGCTAAAATCTAACGATGGTTATATAATAGCAGCTGCATTCTGACGTGATAAGCTGAATGTTTTATATTCAATTAACGTATGATCCGATTAGTCGACTAATCGAAAAAATAATCGGTGATTAATCGATTATTAAAATAATCGTTTGTGGCAGCCCTAGTTGCCAACTAGCTTACCAGCCCAGTGAGACTGTAAGGATGCCAGAGCTGAAAACATAAGTATGTTAGGCTAACCAGCTGCAGCCTCGTGAATGAAGCAACCTGAACATCTAAAATGAAAACACCTCTGCAGACGGTCGTGTTTCAGAGACTTGTCATAGTTGTGGTCGACCATGTTATTGCAGAAAGAGGTTGAACGATTTAGAGCTGCGAGCACCAGGGCTGTGAATGTCTCCCAGCCCAACAACTCCTCTCTGTGTGCTGGCTTAGACTTGGCGGCTCCGCTCTGACCCCCCCACCCATTACCCCTGCACCCACCCACCCAACAAACACACATGCATGCTTACACAGGGGGTCTGCAGTGGCCCATTTAACCCCTCAAATAAAAAAGGGGGTGTTATTCCCTTCTAAGACATGCACAGTCAGCTTCAATTTGTGCAAATTAGGGGTGATCTGAACACAACAGGTTAAATGAGGGTTTTTTTTTGGGGGGGGGGGGGGCTATTTTGGATCCAGTGGTTCTTTATTTTACTCACCTCATGAATTGGTGTTTCTGTTTCGGTAATGTGTTTTTGCTCTGGGTTCACTGGAGCATTTACCTGAGCTCGTCTCTGTTAAACACAAATATAAATAGATCTAAAGGATTGACTGTACAGTTGAAGTGGGTTAAAGGCCATGCCCACTGTTAAAACATACAAACTCTGACAAGCAACAAGTACACATGCAGGCTATACAAGTACAATTTGTACAGCAAATAAACAACCTAAATACAACCCTGGTTCTGAAAATGTAGTAACGGTGCATAAAATGTAAATAAAAACAGATTGCAATGGTTTGCAAATGCCAGAAACATGTTTTATTTACTATGGGACTTCATAAATATATCAAATGTTGAAACTAACAAAATAACCATGTTTAGAAAAAAAAATGGTTAATTTGAAATGTTATGGCAGCAACAAATTTCAAAATAGAAGAGACATGGGCAAAAAAAAGCTTTAAAAATGTACAAATAAAAAAACATCAGGAGGAGGATTTTGCAACTAATTAGGTTAATTAGTAACACGTCATTAAGAGGATTGAGAATAAAAAGAACATTTTAGAGAAGCTGAACCTGTCAGAGGTAAAAATGGACAGAGATCCACCATTTAGCAAAAAAAAAAAATTTAAATGAATTGAGGCAAAGTAGAAAACTGTTTTTAGATTGTGAATTTCAAATGAGAGTATTGTTTATTTAATTTTTTACAAAGCCATGGATACCATGTCCTCTGTACTGAAGAGGAGAGTAACCATCTTATCAGCACACAGTTTAAAAACATGCCTCTCTGATGTTATGTGTGTGCAATATTGCCTCTGGCATGGGCAGCTTATATATCTGAAAAGGCACAACATATGCTCCCATCCTGACAATGACAAAGACAATTTCATGGAAATTGCATATTTCAGCAAGACAATGAAATGAAATGTGTGCTCTGCATTTGACCCATCACGTCAGAAACACCCAAGCAGAGCAGCGGGCAGCAGTAAGCACTGTTGGGTTGGGGGTTAGGTGTCTTGCTCAAGAACACCACGACATGTGGGCATGGCGGAGAGTCAGACCTGTGACTTTCTGGTCCCAAGTTGGCTGCTCTACCACCACACCACAGCCGCCCTGTATGTTTACATCAGTCCACAAAGACCTTGGCAATATTTACAATTTCACTGATATTGCAATTATTGTGGTGGACACTTTTACATTTACATTTGTTTTCACACCAGAATGTTGGGCTCATAAAGTGAAGGATAACTGAGGAAAAAGCTGGTTTAGGGGGAGGGAAGTTTGTTCTTTGGACTACCTTTATTATTATTATTATTATTATTATTATTATTATTATTATTATTATTATTATTATTATTATTATTATTATTATTAT